CCTGCTGAATGGCATGGCCAGCTGTACTGGGACCTCATTTATATGCCCGAGGGAGGATGTAGTTCATACATTTCCTCAAAATTCTGTTTTTTAGCACAGACAAAATAGGTAGAAATCGGTGTGATGAAATGTCTTCTTAGCAGTGTGAGCATTTTTGTTTACAAATATATTGTCAGAGACAGGGTTTAAGTTGGTTCTACAGAAAAGAAGGACAAATGGCAATTCCTGGTCTGGCCTGTTTTACATGGGAGAATGAAATAAAAGTTTCATGCAGGACTTTACATTCCCACTTCATTTTGCTTTACTGTAGAAGGAGTCAGGCACTACACAGAGAAACATGAAGAATAAATTACAAACAGGACTGTACTGATGCAATATAGAATTTCATTCTTTAGCCTAGTTGTAAGAATTAAATTTGTAGAAGATATAACTTCCCTTTGGTCCTTGACCTAGGTCTGTGATTCTGCTTTCTTTTCAACATTATGTGTCAGAAAGAAAATGCAGTATTAGAGATTATTTGTCAAATAATGGTGTTTCAGTCCTCAGCATTGTGAATAGAAAAGATAGAAAATTTAAGTGCAAAGGCAGATGTGGTTCTCATGCAAATTAACAAAAAGAAAGCACTGCACAGAAAGAATAGCATACTTTAACATATAGGTCTTCTACATTATTTTGCCTAAGGCAGACAGCAGGACATGTACACATCTTTTGTTAAAACATGAAAAGAAAATTGTAATAGAATTTTAGATGATGGAATATACTGAAAATAGTATACTGAGTATATTGTTCAATAAATGTGTTAGTGTATTGAGGTTTAATCCATATTTCTCTTCTGTACAGTGTCTATGATTAATGTGATGTAAAAGCTTCTCGTGTGAATGGATAACACCTTCTCAGCCTCATGAGAGTAGACATACAAACGAGGAAATCAATGTTGTATAGTCATTAATATTCTCATATTAAGGAACAAACAGATTTGAACTTCAGAAATAGTTTTTGATAAAGTACATGTCTTTCAAGACTTACTCTTTCCAGCAAGTGTCTCAGTTTCAGCCTGCTGATCCTTCATATCCTTCTGTTAGAAATTGTGGAGTTTCATTAGTGTACAACAAAC